CTGATGACAACTCATTTCAATCCAAGTGGAAGCATTCTAAATCATTCTAGTTAGTTAGATTAACCCTTTGAGGGTGAAGGTCCCCCCATCCTTAACCCTTTCAGGGTTGAGAGGCCCTCTCCTAAACTTAGTTTGTTCTCAAGGTTGAAAATTTTTCGGGAAAAAAAAAAATTTCTTATGAAAAGATAATTTTTTCCTTATCATAATGACACCAAAAGTATGAAAATTTGCTGGAAAACTTACGGAATTATGCTGTTGTGAAGTTAGCAGTCTCGACGATGTTTACGCATCGGCGATTTCGCCCACTCTGAGCCCTACTTTCAGCCAATTCCAGTGTACTAGTCGACAAAAACATAAACATTTTGCTGGAACTCCATTTTTTCTATTGAATGAGTACAAGAAACCACCCATTTACTGATTTCCACTATCCAATAAAGTGGTCAGAAATTAGCAATTTTGCCAATTTCACACAAATTTCAAAAGATGCCAATTTCCAAATAGGGTCCAGAATAAACAAGACAGACATTCCTGGCACCAAAATAACATTTAATCTGTTCATTAGTCACGTCCCCAGGCCTCTTACATTTCTTTTGCTTTCCACTTTGAATTTATATTCTCACAAAAAATAGAAGATTTACTGTTATGCAGACTACTACATTAGTGTAGAAATGGTATAAATAATATCAGTGCACTTGTGAATAAACAGACTCGCCAATTGACGTGTATTGGATGCTTAGCATGATTTGTTTATTGGATGCTTAGCATGATTTGTTTACTATTGAACTTTGGCAAAAATCGAACATTTCTGCTGCTTTGAGCTCAATTTCAAGGTACTTTTCATTGTGAAACCAATCAAAATCATCTCAAATTCTGTAATATGGCTTCCATTCTATAAAATGAGACTGGGGAAAACTAGAATACAACCATAAATACAATACAAAAATACAGTGCAAAATCGGTTTTAAACCAAAAAGTCAGTTTTTTTTTCTCATTACGCACTATGTGCTGCAGGACTTTTTTTTTTTTTACACTGCGCACACTGACCACATAGACCCATTCTTTCATAGGCCTACCAGCTTTCTCTTGCTAGATTTGAACGCGCTAGAATTTAGGTGTACTAGTACGTCAATAACCCTGGTGCGCAAGTAGTACTAGTACATCGGAAACCCTGAAAGGGTTAACTCGCTCTCGGTCAAAAAAATAAAAAAAAAAGTGATTTTTGTCTTATGAAATGATAGAGAATCTTTTCCCAATGGTAGTGGCACCAAAAATACGAAATTTGATGGAAAACTTATGAAATTACTCTCACAAAGTTAGTGATATCTGCGATATTTACGCATCGGTGATTTTGCCCACTTGAGCCCTATTTTCGGCCAATTCCTGTGTTCCAGTTGACTAAAATCATAATTATTTTGCTAGAACTCTTTTGCTCTATTGATTGAGTACAAGAAACTGCCCATTTACCAATTTCAACTATCCAATAAAGTGGTCAGAAATTGGCAATTTGGCTAATTTCAACTAAATTTCAAAAGATGCCAATTTCAAAATGGGGTCCGGAATAAACAAGACACATTCCTGGCACTAAAATAACTTTTTTGTTTATTAGTCACGTCTCAAGGTCCCTCTTATATTAGTCTTGCTTTCCAATTTGAATTTTTCTCGCGAAGTTGAAGATTTACTGTTATGCGGACTACTGCATTATTGTAAAAATCATATAAATAATATCGGTGCACTTGTGAATGAACATTAGACTCGCCAGTTGATGTGTATTGGACACACGACATGAATTGTCTACTCTTGAACATTGGCAAAACTCGGACATTTCCGTTATTTTGAGCTCGACTTCAAGGTACTTTTCATCGTGAAACCAACCAGATTCATCTCTTTTTTCTGTAATATATCTTCCATTCTATCAAGTAAGACAAAGAAATCGAGAATACATGTACAGCCTTAAATACCATACGAAAATACATACACTGCAAAGTCGCTGCTTTAATCCAAAAACATGGTTGGAGTTTTATTTTTCTCATTGTGCACTGCGTGCTCCAGGATTATTTTTTATACTGTGCACAATGACCATGCAGACCCATTCTTTCATATGTAGGCCTACCAGCTTTCTTCCACCAGATTTTGGCATGTAAATATGGGACCGACACTATCAAGCCGTACATGTGTGGAACCGACCCTGAAAGGGTTAAAGTACGCTTTGGAAAAAAAAATCAGCTTATTACTAAATCTCCATAGTACATAATGGCAGAGGAAACATTCTGTAGGACTGTTAGTAAGGCTGCATACGATATTATTTTGTAGTCAGTAGTATAACTTTCAAACGGCTAACCCTGACACCTTGGATCACTCAAGTCTAATGAAGCATTTCAAATACAGTATTATACACGAGGCTGTATTTCTTAAACCAGACAATTTCTTTCACTAAGGTTGTTCTGTGAAATATTTTCTAACAAAAAGGATAACTTGTCAGTAAGATTCTACTTACTGTATTTTCATCAAATTATGGAAGGTGTGTTGTGTAAGCAATGCATTGCAGTGGCTTAGATTTTTTTCACAGATTTGATCTTGCATTAAATAAGCGCTATTCCAGCAAGTAGGTATGTTCCAAAGGAGCTTGTGCTTCTGTAGTTCATTTTGTTCTAGAAGAGTCTCTAGTTTACTGCAGGATAGAGGAGAGTGATAGAAGTGGCTCACTATTTGCCTATACTGAGCAGCAGTGTCTTTATTACTCTGCTCCAGAATATAATCATGGATAACCAGTTGAAGTGTATGTACTGCACTATGTTCTTGTGTGTGAATATACACGAGTAACCCTCACACTAGTGAGGTAGTGTTAATTTTATTATTTTCAAATGTGTATATTAATATTTTAAGTCAGCTGGTATCTGCAACTTTCACTTTTTCCAATACTGCAACACTGGTACCCACTGATGATGCTTTTATAGCATTACTTTGTTATTGGTATGATTTTTGAGTGACCTTCATGGTCAAAAGGCTTTGCAAATATCACAACTACTAATACTATAGTTATTCACCTTTTGTTTCAAGGTGAAGTTCATGTCACATATTTAAGTATCTAATGTGAGCTCTTATATATAGAAAGGTTGAGGTTATACATGAACCAGTGAGCTGTCAAATAGCTTAGACTTTTAAGATACAGTACACTATGTATTAGATAATATAATCATGATGACTTGCCCCACAAATATAATATGTTTGAGGATATTAAATTAGTGCTGTAGTGCATATGCTTCGTATACAGTATCTTAGAGTAAATGGGAAAAGCCTTTGTAAAGGTTATAATGTACCATTAATATTTTTATTACTTAAGAGATATATTATTACTAATTATTTTATTGCAATATTATTAGAGGCACTAAACATTTAGTATGATGTTCAGTTTTGTGTATTGCTTTATTTTTTAAGGTTATTTTTAGCTTTGTATTGTGTGTAAAAAAAATGTGCCCAGTGCATTATCTAATTGACAAGCACTGAATGACCTTGTAGATTAGAGTGCTCTGTAAATAATGAAGTATGGTATTGAAATGATACTATATACAAGGTTGACAAGACTGACCAATTTATTTTTGTGAAAGCAAGTACGAGATGACAGGTTTTTATGTATTACCACATGATTTGTTCACGTGTATAGAAAGATGTGGTACCCACTATAATGTGATAAGCAACCTCATGAATAATCTGATAAGAGCAAGACTATTTATCAAGTTATTAAAGTGCAGCCCTATGAGTAATAACTTTGTTTACATCCCAAGGCTTTTGATTATCTTGAGTTACACAATACTCTTGGTTTCAAAGTGTTTATTGTATTTGAAATTTATTATTTGTACTTTTAACCCTTTGACTGTTTTGGTCGTAGATATACGTCTTATGAGCCACCGTGTTTGACGTATATATACTCGTAAATTCTAGCGGCTTCAAATCGAGCAGGAGCAAGCTGGTAGGCCTACATGTGAGAGAATGGGTCTGTGTGGTCAGTGTGCACCATATAAAAAAAATCCTGCAGCATGCAGTGCATAATGAGAAAAAAAAAAACTTTTTTTTTTTTAATTAAAATGCCGACTTTGTGGTCTATTTTTGTATAGTATTTATGGGTGTATTCTTGTTTTCTTGGTCTCATTTGATAGAATGGAAAACATATTATAGAAATAGAGGTGAGTTTGATTGGTTTTACTAAAAAGAACGTGGAAATGGAGCTCAAAGTAGGAGAAATGTTTGATTTTTGCCGATGTTCAAAAGTAAACAAATGTCATTGTCCAATAAATGTCCAACTAGCCATTCTAATATGCAGTCACGAATGGGTTGACATTATTTGTACAATTATTACAGTATTGCAGTAGTCTGCATAACAGTAAATCTTCTATTTTTTGTTTGAATAAAAATTCAAAATAGAAAGCAAGAGTAATATCAGAGAGGCCTGGAGACGTGACTGATGAACAAAGAACATGTTATTTTAGAGCCAGGAATGTCTGCATTATTCATTCTGGACCTTATTTTGAAATTGTCATATTTTTTAATTTTTGTGAAATTGGCCAAATTGCAAATTTCTGACCACATTATTGGGTAGTTGAAATCAGTAAATGGGCAGTTTCTTGTACTCGATCAATAGAAAAAATGGAGTTCTAAAGAAATAGCTGAGTTTGGTCGACTGGAACAATGGAATTAGCCGAAAATAGGGCTCAAAGTGGGCGAAATCGCTTATTTGTAAATATCGCTGAGGTCACTAACTTCGCGAGAGCGTAATTCCATCAGTTTTCCATCAAATTTCGTTTTGTTTTGTTTTTTTTGTCATTACAATTGGGAAGAGATTCTCTATCATTTCATAAGATTTTTTTTTTTTTTTTTTTTTTTTTGTGACACCAGGAGACACCTCACGATTGGGGGTTGCGACAGTCAAGGGGTTAATAGGCAAAGGTACTTTTAGTAAAGGTTTATTGCATCATGTTTTTCAACACTGCTGATTTGTAAGTAATACTTCATTTGTCATAGAAAATTATTGGCAAGTTTATATTTACAAATATTGTACCTTAAGTGTATTTTGTGTTGCAGCTCGCTTGTTCCTCATAATGTTCCTCTGGGATTGGATCACCGGTGTGCTGGGATATCTTGGTAAGAACTACTCATGTTTAATCAGCCTTGCATGTTTTTTATAGCTCATTAACATTTCCATTAGGAATATAGTTTTCCCCCTTTACCTGTTATTAACCATTTAACCCGTAAACGGTCCAAACGTATATATACGTTTTTTCAATATTTGAAAGTATGTAAAAAAGTAATCTTTTTACATTTGAAAATGTGTAAAAAAAAACTTTGATTTACTTTTTTTATTTGTTTGAAAATATGTAAAAAAAACGTAGATCTACTCTTGGAGCACTACACGTGAACGTAGATCTGCTTGGACCGTTTACGGGTTAACCCTTTGTGGTGTCTAGAGGCCAAACCTGAGTGACAGCCATGGTCCAAGAATTTAAAAAAAAAAATTATTTTTCTTATGAAATGGTAGAGAATCTTTTTCTGAAGGTAATAAAACAAAAACCTAGCCTTGTCAAACCCTGTGTAAAAAAAAAAAAAAAAAAAAAAAAAGTAATTATTGATGCTCTCGCAAATTTTGATGCATCAGCAATATTTACGCATCGGCGATTTTTGCCCACTTTGACTCCCATTTTAGGCCAATTACATTATTCCAGTCGACCAAATTCTTAACTATGTCGCTAGTATTACTTCTATTTTATCGATTGAGCACAACCATTTCAATTACCCAATAAAGTGATCAGAAATTGGTAATTTGGCCAATTTAGCACAATGTTCAAAATATTCCAATTTCAAAATAGGGTCCAGAATAAACAATGCAGGCATTCCTGGCACTAGACTAACATTTCCTCTGATCATTAGTTATGTTTTGAGGCATTACAAATGGATTCCATTTTGATTTTTTATTCACAATGAATTTTTATTCACACCAAAAAAAAAAAAAAGATTTACTGTTATGCAATATATATTGTAATAATTCTATAAATAATATCAGTACATTTGTGAATGTATATTAGACCTATCAGCTGATGCGTATTAGACTCATGACATTTGTTTACTCTTGAACTTCGCCAAAAATTGAACATTTCTGCTACTTTGAGATCAGTTTCAAGCCATTTTCATTGCTAAAACCAATCAAAATCATCTCTATTTTTTTTGTAATGCATCTTCCATTTTATCAAATGAGACCAGGAAATTGCAAATACAATTGTAAAAAAACGTACGAGAAAGGACCGCAAGAGTCGCTGTATTAATCCAGAATTAGTTTTTTTTCTCATTACACTGTGTGCTGCAGGATTTGTTTTATACGGTACACACTTGCCACATAGATGTATTCTCTCATATCTAGGCCCAAATTTACCGCTTGCAGGTTATCTGTGCAAGCTGAGCTCATGGCGTAGATCCACGGTTTGGACCCTGGCTTCAAGGCCGTGAATTTACAGGACAAACCCTGAAAGGGTTAAAGGAAAATAAATTTTCTTTGCATTACTCTGTCTCCATAAGAGACACTAACTTAACCCTTGAACGGTCCAAACAGATAGACGTTGAAATTCGTAGTGCTATGAAAGTAGATCTACTGTTTTTTTACATATTTTCATAGTATAACAAAAAAAATGTAGATAAAAGTCTTTTTTACACGTTTCCAAATGTAAAACAGATCTACATTTTTTACGTACTTTCAGATGTTGAAAAAACGTGTATATACGTTTGGACCATTTAACCCTTTGAGGGTCGACAGGCCCTCTCCGAAACTCGTTCTCAGGGTCGGCCAAATTTAAAAAAAAAAAAAAATTATTTTCTCTTATGAAAAGATAGAGAATCTTTTCCCGATCATAAAGACACCAAAAGTTTGAAATTTGATAGAAAACTTACGGAATTATGCTCTCGCAAAGTTAGCGGTCTCGGCGATGTTTACGCATCGGCGATTTTGCCCACTTTGAGCCCCATTTTCGGCCAATTTCACTGTACTAGTCGACAAAAAACATGAATATTCCGCTAGAACTCCATTTTTTCTATCGAATGAGTGCAAGAAACCACCCATTTATAAATTCATCTATCCAGTACAGTGGTCAGAATTTAGCAATTTTGCCAATTTCACACAAATTTCAAAAGATGCCAATTTCTGAATAGGGTCCAGAATAAACAAGAAAGACATTCCTGGCACTAAAATGACATTTCCTCTAGTCATTAGTCACGTCTCAAGGCCCCTCTTATATTCTTTTCCTTTCCACTTTGAATTTTTATTCTCACAAAAAATATAAGATTTACTGTTATGCAGACTACTGCATTAGTGTAAAAAATGGTATAAATATTATTGGTGCACTTGTGAAAGAATATTAGACTCACCAGTTGACGTGTATTGCACGCTTGGCACGATTTGTTTACTTTTGAAGTTTGGTAAAAATCGAACATTTCTGCTACTTTGAGCTCAATTTCAAGGCACCTTTCATTGTAAAACCAGTCAAAATCATCTCAATTTCTGTAATATGTCTTCCATTCTATAAAATGAGACCAAGAAAACTAGAATACAAGAATAAATACCATACGAAAATACACTGCAAAGTCGCTGATTTATTAAAAAAAAATGGTAAAAGTTTTTTTTTCTCATTATTCACTGTGTGCTGCAGGATTTTTTTTAGACTGTGCACACTGACCACATAGACCCATTCTTTCATATGAAGGCCTACCAGCTTTCTCCCACTAGATTTGAGGCCGCTAGAATTTATGAGTACTAGTACGTCAAAAACCCCTACGCGTAAGACGTACTAGTACGACCAAAACCCTCAAAGGGTTAAGGGTTAAAGTACTTGTTTTGCTGTGAAAGCAGAGCTGTGATTGTGGTGTCCTGTGTGTGGGTTTAATTTACAGTAGACAGTCTGTTAATAAAGTACATAGTTACATTCCTGAAAATGTGTGTAAACTGAACTGAAGAACCTATGGTTCAGTAGTTCTATTTATTCTATGCAAAAATAAATGAATAAAAATATTCTTTAATGGCCGTTACTCCATAAACTGCATTGTTTCCTCATTGAATTAATTCACATTACACATTTGTTGCATCAACACTGGTAAGTAAACTGCCAGTTGCATCAAATACTTTTAACACAAACTAATAATTTTAAAACATACTACGCTAATAAAGGCATCACCCCAAACAGTTGCCATCCAGTAGGTATATCTTGTGACTTTGTGAAAATAACTAAGAGCACTGGCCCAGATAACATCCCAGCTAAGTTCCTAAAAGATGGTGCCTCTGAATTGCCTATCCCCATTGTGCACATAATGGATTTGCCAATCACCACTAATACAATTCCTGAGGTTCAAGGAGGCCAGAGTTACTCCTTCAAGAAAAATAGTAGGTCTGATGTCAGCAACTATAGGCCTCTAGTATACTCAGTGTGATGTCCAGAATTCTAGAGAAAGCAGTGTACTGTCAAGTACACTGTAGCTACCAGTCAGGTTTTAGGAGATTTTATTAGACCGACCCCTCCCTAATTAACTAGTCATAAGTTTGCCTGTGATACTCCAATATACGAGCTTCAGTAGAAACTATGTATTGTAACAAAACAAAACCATTCACATTGCTAAATTTATGAACTGTAATGCAGTTACTTAGCCTTAACACCAATATGCTCCATAATCTGTACCAATATAGTTTTGAATTAATCTTAGTCTGCCCAAAATGCCTAGTCATGCTAGGTGTGATAGTGGCCCCCTTTGTAATTAGTTTTATATAATATGGATATATGTTGGTAGAATTACTGACGAAGCTCCTGGAGACCAAAACGTTGCCACAATAAAATGCCACATTAGTTGCTCTTGTGTCCTTTTACTTTATATAATATATAAACCACACAATATCCTATAATATGTAAGCCCCACATTGTAATCTTTATAGAGAATAAACTTGATTCGACGTCCAACTGGCCAGTCTGATACACAGTCATGAATGGGTTGACATCATTTATACAGTTGTCACAATAATGCAGTATTCTGCATAACAGAATCTTCTATTTTTTGCGTGAATAAAAATTCAAAATAGAATGCAAGCATAATGTAAGGGGCCTAGAGATGACTAATGAACAGAGAAAATGTTATTTCAGTGCCAGGAATGTTTGCATTGTTTATTCTGGACCCTGTTTTGCATGAAATTGACCAAATTTCCAATTTCTGACCACTTTATTAGGCAGTTTCTTGTACTCAGTCAACAGAATAAAGAAATACTAATGAAACAGCTCTAAGTTTGTAGACTGGAAAATGGAATGGGCCAAAAATAGGGTGTAAAGTGGGTGAAATTGCTGATGCATAAATATTGCTGTTGGGTTAAGTGTATTCTAACCTAACCACTCTAATCTGGCAAAATCACTAATCAGGCATCCTACAGGTCCCGATGATGCCGGATTAGTGATGGTCAACCTGTACTAGGGGAAGGGAGCACAACTTTGTAGTACCCACAGTAAGTGGTCAGGCTTCAAGCATTTTATTGTACAGCAGTAAAGAAGTGGAACAGCCTGTCTGAACTTGTCAAAGCCTGTCATAGCTTGAGACGGTTCAAGAAGAGTGCCAAATGGTACCTAATGAATGTAACTACAGACAGGGAGGAGAGTGATATCTTGTATAGCTAATATACATGTGCCTATTATTGTGATCTGATCCTATCTTTAACCCTTTCAGGGTTTCAGACGTACTAGTACGGCTTATGCACCAGGGTTTTTGACGTACTAGTACGCCTAAATTCTGGCGCCCTTAAATCTAGTGAGAGAAAGCTGGTAGGCCTACATATGAAAGAATGGGTCTGTGGTCACTGTGTGCAGTATAAAAAATATCCTGCAGCACACAGTGCATAATGAGAAAAAAAAACTTTGACCGTGTTTTTGGATTAAAACGGCGACGTTGCACTGTACAGTGGACCCCCGCATAACGATGGCATCGCATAGCGATTTTTCCGCATAACGATTACTTTTATCGCAAAATTTTTGCCGCGCATACCGATTAAAAACCCGCATACCGATTTTCGTCCGAGACGCGTCCAATGTGCCCTCAGCCAGCCTCACATGTGCCGCTCCGTCCCATTGTTT